TTCTTGTTCAGACCAGAGCTTTGGTGAGATGGGGAAGGAAGAAGGATGGGTAAGGATGGAAATATTGGAAAAGGGTGGGAGGGGGGTGAGAGGTAGGATATAAAGGTAAGTGGCCCAACCACTTTGGTGCAATTTAAAAAGTGTATGTAAAAAGATAATATATTTAATTAAGGGTATAAGACAAACCCCTCAAAGTCACAAGTATAAAATTTTAAAAAAGTACAACTCAAAATTGGTGGGTAATTATAAAGTTGAATTGCTTTTTTTTTTTTTTTTTTTTTTTTTTTTTTTTTTTTTTTTTTTTCTTGCCAGTTTATAAATTTCGTGACAATGGCTTCTTACAAGGTGTCCAGCCATGTAAAGCATAATTTTTTACATCAGAAATTATATATGATCTCCCTAATTGGGGGGGATGTTTTTTCAGATACATAGAAGGGTTCGGGTGGAACCCAATCTTCTTCTCAATAAGTTGCTCAATATCATGGGTCGATGGTAATCATCTTATAATAAAACACGGACCCCCGTGGAAAGCATTCGTGATCCGTAGGAGTATTGATGACAAATCCGTGGTATTTACCACTTGTATGGGATGTTTTCTCTATCGCTGTATAGTTTTGCATTGTATAAATTTTTTTTCTTTTTTAAGGTGTCAAGGCGTAATTTAGGCAGTAATATCTTTTGTATGTGTAAATCTCCCATTTTAAACTTGCTTCCTCCGGGATCGGTGATGAAGCAAAGAGCTCTTTTTCTGGACCCTTTGAAAACCCGGACATGTTGGTCTTTGTTTTTAATGACTTTGGGGAAACAAAAAAGGGGTTTCGAGTATTGGCTTATTTCTTTTTTATACAGATTTTTTTTACATTTTTAGGGGTTGATTAAATCGAAAGAGTCTGCTAAACCGGTTTTGGTATGTTGATCTTTTTGTTACTAGTGTTGAATGGGCAGCCTGTCATTTTTTTATCCCAAAATCTTGTGGGTTTCAAAATGGCTACGGGTACCATTTAACTTAAATTGTTGTTTCAAAACACCTATCGTGCAACAAGGACCTTGCAGGATTAGTTGTAATTCCCATTTTTTTTTCCCAAATTAGATGTTGGGAAATTTCAATATTCTTTTTTCTCTATACTCTCCGTACTTTATTTTCCTGTTCCCGGAGTTGATGAACGACATGAAAAATCCTGAAAACGTGTCACAATTGTGTCATTAACTCTGGTTGAGGAAGGTCATACATAAATTTTTAACGGAGGGGACTGAGCAAGATCCTTGGGGGACACCAGCTGTCGGTAAAAAAGGGCTCGTCGACCGCCAAAAAGGTGGGAATGATTTTTTTTGATTTAAAAAAAATTATAATTAATCTGAAAAAAGTCCAGTTAGGGTCTGGTGGTCAATGAGTTTGATAAAAGGGCCTATCCAAAGCTATCAAAAGCTTTGTAACACTCTGGGGGAAAATTAAGGCAAGATTCCCCTTTTGATGTTTTAGACTTGCTCGTATCAAAAATAACATTTATTGCATATTGGTACCTCTATGTGTTCTAAAGCCAAATTGTTTTTCATAAAAAAGTGATTAAACCCATAAGAGTTCATCTTTTGGAAATGACTTTTCAAAAAACTTTTCCAGTATTCAAGAAAGATATATGTCATAGTTCCCAGGTTGGTTGATGTCTTTTTTGGGGTTTCCCAAGAAAATCATCCAAGCATCAAAAAAACCTGGAAAATGCCGAGGCCAAGATGGCTTTAAAAAATTTTTACCAAAATGTTTAAAAATTCTAGGTATACTTTATTTGTTTCATTTTATCCAAAGGCCGGGGGCCTATTTCTCATTTTCCAATAACCTGACTTATCTCTATAATGTAATAGGTCTAGTAACGGGGGGGTACTTCGAGTTGAAGTATCGTGGAAGGTAGGGGTTGTAGATGTCCAAGTTTCACTCCCATTCATTTACCAACTGAAATGATTATTTTTAAAATTGACGACTGTTATAGGGGAGAGTTTTTTTCTCCCATACCCCCCATCAAATTAGCCTGGTCCGGGGATCGTCAATTTAAATTTTAACCTTCACACCCTCATCGGGAAGGTAGAATAGGTTTTAGGAGCCTTGTGCTTTCCCCCTAAAAGTTGCCCGGATTTACCCCAAAATTTGGGGTTCACGTTGATACTGATTGCTTACGAACTAAAAATTTTTTCCATTTTGCCCCGTTTTGATGACTAATCATGTTAAATTTAATTCGTCCCTTTTCGTGCAGTTACTGGGGTGGTTGTTGCGTTTGAAGAGGGCCTTTCGAATTCTCTGATAATTTCGTAAATTGCTCAAATTTCCCTAGTAGGTTTAATTGTTGGAAAACTTTGGGGAAGCTAATTGACAAGTTGCTTTAGAAGCTTAAATTTAATTCAAATAGCAGGGACCTGATTGCACATAAATTTGCTTGGAAAAGGTAGATTTTCCAATGACAAAAAATTTTATCATCCCCCAAATGCCCCCAAAGGGGGCAAACCTAGGGTGTTAAATTGGGTTTAGGATTACAGGTATTCTAAATGGGAAGTTTTTAGTTGTATTTAAAAGGATTTTGGTCAAATCCTACATGTCCCCCCGGGATATACGACAGTGAAAAATGTCCATCCCTGTTTGCAGTATAATCAGGGGTCCCCGGATGAGGTCCCAAAGTAAATTTAAAAAATGGGGCCCTTTAAATGACAGGTTTCTAGGGGTTTATGTATTTAAAAAGTTGTTTTTCCTTTAATTCACCCAGTGGAAAACCCGCTCCCCCAGTTAAAAGGGGAGGGTGATGAGCATTAAAATCTCCCCAGAATTTTTGGAATATTTTGCTTAATATCCCTTTTAGAGGAAAAAAGATCTATATATTGTTTTCGGGGGGAAAAAACCCGTTACTTCACAGTTGTCCATGAGCGTTGTTTTTCTTTGCAAAAGTTATCTTCAAACAACATGAATATTTTAAAAATATAGCCCAATTTTACTAAGATGGCTACACCACTAAAGGGCCCTCGATTTTTCCACGTAAGTAACCCCCGTAATTTAATATGTTGATCAACTCTTGCAGCTTTTCGTTCAAAAGTATAACATCGGGATTGTAGTTATGTAGTTCAACCCCAAAGTAACGGTTATTTAAAAAAATTTGAACATTAAGTTGGAAAAATTTAAACCCTTATTTCTTGCACTTCGTCGTGTACTTCGGCTGAAGCTGCAAATAATGTCATTTTGTTATTTCCCCCTATCCCTGCTATGTCAAGGGGGGAGGGGAATTTTTCGTAGTTCTTTTGTATTTAAAATGCCCTCATTTCATAAGTAGTAATATAACAGCTCTTAGAATCGTTAGAGTTCATCAGAAACTGAGGGATGATATTCCCATTACAGGAAGCAGAGGCTCTGAGAGTTTAATGGAGACAGTGGAGGCTCCAAGGGAAAAGTAGGCAGGCAAGGCAGTCACCCGGAAAATTCTGTTGAAAAGGGTCATTCAAAGCGGGAGAGTAGGCACCACTTTCTGGGGGGTTTTTTATGTTTTAGGGTTGACTTATCGGGGTTTGGGGGGGGGGGACAACTGGGTTTGTGAGGTGGGCGATCCCCCGACCAGGGGTGACTTAGGCTTATTTTTAGATCAGAGTAGGGAACTACTTTTTTTTATAGAACTGGGTCATAATGCCTTCACATTTTCTGGGGTAGTGAGGGAGTGATCCATTAGCCATTAACAGGGCATTTAAAACCCGAGAGCAAGTTAAATGGCACCATTGTATTCTTTGGGCCCCATGTACATTTTTCTCTAGTCTATCCCCGGTGTGGAACCGAGACTAGGGATGATACTAACCTTTTGTTGCGTTTGTGTATGGGTAAGTGAGGGTTAGATTGATGCGCTCCAGAGGGGAGAAATTTCCCAAAATGGAAACCCTTGGGAAGACCTAGGGTCCCCCCTTGATCCCGGCAGAGCTGGGAAGAATTTTGGACATCGGTTTGGCGGTGCCTGGGGGTTGGGCTTCCCCAGCAGTGGAAATTTCTTGGCTTCAAGAATTTTCTGCATTTCCTTTTTCCTTTAGGACAAATGCAGAAACAGCATGGTTTTCCTTGCAGAGGAACATTTAGGTGTATTTTTTTTTGGTAAATCTCTATACAAAGTTGGCCCGAGCAAATGCACAAATCTGCCTGATAAGCATTTATTGTTGTTTGACCAAAGGATAACACTTTAAATTTTGTCACACTGACAAATGTTCAAAGATTTGGTCAGGGGAACAGGTGCCAAAACATTTGAATCCGTTGACACACAAGTTTTGGGCCCCCTCAGGTTCCAAGTATTAGCTTTAAGGTCACCTTGTTGTTGGGAGTTTAAGTTTAGTCTTCTACAGCCCTAAAGTCAGAATTCTCAGTATTAATTCGTCAACAATTTCATTCATGTGCTATGTTTCATGAAACTGTTTATTCTGGGCCCCAAACACGTCCTCTGACTTTATAGCATCAGGGGCAATGGGGTAACACCCGAAGTCTTTGGTTTTTCAAGCACATCATGCTTTTAGAAGTTGAAGTAGCTCTTCTTCCCCAAAAGGAAATATGCTCCAGGTGGGTTTTTAAAAACATCCACGGGGCAACAGTTGAGTTGGAGCAAATAATGTGAGAATTTCTCTCTTGTCATTTGATTGCCCTCAATGCGTAATCTTCACGATCCCCGCCTGATGTTGAGGAAAGAAAACCGGCAGAGGAGTTTCTTAACAAAAAGGGGGAAATTTCCTTGATTTAAAAATAGCTCCCATTTTCAGTACTTATGAAGGCAGCCCCAAGAACCCACCCCGGTAGTGAGGGGAAAGGGCCAAGGGAAAGTCGGTGGATTTTAAAAAACCAACGGCTACCGATGGTCAAAATGCCCTTTTGGGTTAAAATCGCCAAAGCAAGTTGCCCAAAAAAGAAGATAGCAGTAAAAGGATAGCAAATTTTGTAGTGATTAAGTGGTGGGCCAGTGTTTGATGTATTGGGTGAGGGTAGGATGGGGAAGGATGGGGGGATGGGGATGAGAGGGGTGAACAAGCAAGCAAGTCACCGCCTTACCCTCTTGATGGGATGGGGCTCGAAGTGACTGCAAGCAAGTTTCCTCTCAGCTCTGGTGAAGAATTACTCAGGATAACACAAGAAAATTCTCGAGCATCAGTGTTCAGAGTTGCTCAGCTGAAGAGCAAGAACGACGACGTCTTCTCTCCACGGTGGCTGGGCTGCTTCTCTCTGTATTCATATTGGAATCACATTAGCCATCTTCCACAACTCTGGCACAACACCGGTAAGGATGGACGCCGCCTTTGCTTCAAATGATAAGTGTCCCGATACTGGACAAAGTGGCCCAGCTTATCTTCCCTACGTGGTATAGAAATATGCCTAATTGGATGAATATTATTAGAGTTAGCTGGCCAGGTGGTTAGCGCACTGGCCTGTGAGTTTTAGAACTCGCTGGCCATTGATTCAAGCCCCACCCGTTGCATGGTTTTAATTATATGTCTGTCTTGTAATTTAACACTTCATTCAACAAGATAATTTCACTCAAATGTTCACACACATTTACTCTCGTTAAATATCAATCTCAAAATTTCTGCAAGACTTTCTCATTTCCTTTAACATTCAGTCAAGCGTACCTACCTCGTTGAACAACTGGTTAATCACAATAACATCAAACTCCTTCCTTCTTTTATAAAGGTCCTTTACCACGGGGACTTCGTACAACTCCCTAGCAAGAGTTGGCAGAGCAGTCTCGAAGACTTGGAAGATTCCACTGGACTTGTTCCTCTTGTCGAAAACGTTAATATTATCCTCCCTGAAGTATGGGAGGTCGTGAGGAATATCTTCTATGTTAGGATGTTTGGACGACTTCGGCTGGTTGATCAACATCACTATCTGAAAAATTTAGTTGAGTTGTGTATCAAGGTAAATCCAATACTATAACCGGAAGTTTGGTAAGATGGGAAAGGAAGAAGTATATGTTCTTCAAGCTCTGTATAAACACTAGTACCTTTGTACTAGCATGTGCAATGTACAGACCTCAGTGGCAACACGCAGACCCTATCAACTTCCTAATGGAAAATATTGACTCCCTTCTGCTACAACACAACTGTCAACATATTATAATTGTTGGTGACCTCAACCAGCACCTTATACAGAGGGACTTTGATGACCTTCTTGCAGTGTTTGACATGAGAAACTTTGTTGATTTCCCTACTCATATCTCTGGCTCCTCCCTTGACCCAGTAGTGAGTGATCTGGCAGAAGGCATAGTCACTTGTCAACCCCTCGGCTACGTTGGATCGTCTGACCACAAGGCTGTTTTTACCACACTTAAGATCCCAACAGAACGAGGTGAGGAGTCCACACGCACAACCTGGCTATGGGAAAGAGGTAATTGGCCAGCCCTTTGCTCTGAGCTCGCCACCACCGACTGGAATGCTCTTCTCCAGGGGGATGTTGACAACCAAGTGAAAGGCTTCACTGGACACATCCTTAATCTGCAACAAGAACACATTCCTCACTGGCAATATGTGACAAAGCCTACAGATCAGCCTTGGTTTGGCTTTCGTTGTAGAGAGGCTGCTACTGCTAAGTACAAAGCATGGCGAAGGTATAAGAGACATCCTACCACCTATAACAGGAACTTGCACATGCAAGCCTGTAGGCATATGGGTGATGTTCAAAAGTGGGCCATTGCTAAATGGGAGGTGGACACTAAAAGAAAGTTAGCATCAGGTAGGGTAGGCTCCAAAACCTGGTGGTCCCTGGTCAAGGACAGACAAGGTTATCTGCCTGATGAACTTATTCCACCTCTAAATCGACAGGTTGGGACCTCCTCTACTAGTAGTCAAGAGAAGGCGGACCTCTTTGCTTTGCACAGTAGCTGCACGAACTGTGTCAAAACTGCCAGTGGTGACAATAAGGCAGGAGGAGGTGCATTTCCTTCTTAAATCACTTGACCAAGAAAAGGCTGTGGGCCCAGACAAGTTGAGCCCAAGATTGTTGAGAAGATGTGCAGACCAGCTAGCAGCACCTCTAACTCGCATCTTTCAGCACTGCCTAGTACAGTGTAAATGGCCCTCTCTATGGAAAGAGGCAAATGTAGTCCCTGTTCACAAAAAGAAGAGCAGAGCAGAAATCAACAACTACAGACCAGTGTCACTCCTGTCAATCATGGTAAGATCCTTGAACAAT